GAGCAGTTAATAGTACTTGGTTCGGTTCCACCCGACAGCTCATAACTGTATCCCCAGTTTAGTGTTTTCACTGCCTTTTTCTGGTCTCTGTACTACCACCAGGCACATATATGTACATAAACATGCATACAGTCAGCACACACACACATGCTGTAAGTAATTCTTTTAAAACAAGTGTTTGATGGGGCGGTGAGATGGCTCAGTGCGTAAAGGCATTTGTCTTAGGACCAGAGTTTCACCTTGGCACTGTGTAAAGATGAATGAAGAGAACAGACCGCTGTCCTCTGACCTTCACACGGTTCCAGTAGCACACACACACCCGTCATATTTGCACACACACTAATAAAAGAATTTGCTTAATCCTTGCCAACCATGCAGGACTGGCACTAGCTCGAAATGCCCAGCTGTGCATTCTCAGATGCTGCCTAAAGTTTCTGAGACTCTTTCGTCCACACTGCCGTAGCTCAGATCACGGGGTACAGCAGCCTGGGGAAGAGTCTAGTGCCCCAAGTTAGGGGAGCTGGAAAGCATTGAGTGCAGTCAGCAATCTCTGCTGTGGGCTCAGCTAGCAGGTTTCTAAGGTTCTTAGCCTCTGCTTTACTCAGCAAAGCGTTATTTAGAACGCCCCGCCTCAGTGAGCACAGATTCCAATACAACTCACGAGGGCTGGCTCTTTCCTATGCCTTGGTACTGAATTCAGGTTGTCAGGCTTGGTGGCAAGTGCCTTTACGTGCTGAGCCTTCTCCTGGTCCCTGACCTTGAACTTCTAAGTCTCCTGTCTCCATCCTCCACAAGCTGGGATTTACAGGCATGCCTAGTTTGAATGGAGCAGAGAATCCATTCCAGGCTTTGTGACAGGCCAAGAAGCAGTCTCCCAACCAAACTGTACATCCTGCCCTTGTGGTGGCTCCTGGGTTTTTGGCTTAAAAGGTCTGGACCTGGAAGGGCTGGGGCAGCCCTTGGGATGTAAATAAATTAATGAGTTAACTTTAAAAAGGGTCTTCTGTCAACTTCTCATGTAGCTGTTGTGATAGTTGTGCACTGAAAGGCCCAGCTGCCTTTCTGTCTTCTAGAAAGGCTGACACAGGCTGGGTGTAGTTCAGTGGTAGGAGCCCTTGTCTCACATGTGCAAGGCCCTGGGCATCTGGATATAACAGGGTGAAGGGACAGGAGTCATAGGGAGTCAACTCTGACCTCCAAGTCAGCAGAGAGGCTGCCTACTGTGATCCTCTCAGAGAAATACAAAGCCACCTCCAGTCTCTAAAGGAACATGTTCTGCATTGACTCAATCTTGGGCGTATTAGTAATGTCTGCCATGGGCATAGCTGTCAGACAGTGAACACTGCGAGGCCTGCAATCAGGTTCCCTGATAGTAATACTCTATTGCTAGCACAGCTGTGTTCTGAGAGCCTGCTAACCCGTTCTGTTTGTCTGATTGTTCCTTTAGTACCAGGAATTGTACCTGGGGCCTCACTCATACCAGACAAACACTCCACCACCGAGCCCTCTGCCCAGTTTTTTTCATGAGAAACTTCCAGAAATCCTCCTAACATTAGACATTATGATCGTCTTCTCTCCACTGAACACATAGGGACTGCACCGCGTGAAAAGGCAGAGCAGAAACCCAAACCCATGGCTCATCAGATAAACTTGCTTGCCACCGAAGACTTGAGTTCAACATCTGGAATCCACCCAGGAGAGAGCAAACTCCTGCAAGTTGTCCTTTCATCTTCACACATAAATCAACTAATTTAAAAGTGTAACAAACGTTAAAAATACAAATCTAGGACTGAAGAAAGAAAAGGCCAATAATAGTAGCGACAGCCACGGAGGCCTAACTGAGGTAGAACACCGGCTTAGCATGTACAAAGCCCTGGGTCTGAGCCCCAGCTCTACAAAAACAAATGAAAACCACCACAAAACAAAACAGAAGAAAACTAGCAAACCAAGACTGGCATGCCTAGCCCATGTCTGTAACTCCCAGGACCTTGGAATCTAACAAATAATATCTGTCTTCCAAACAAAACAGAATAAGAGGATAAGCAAGCATCCCAGGAGAGCAAAGCCGTACTGTGTACCTGCTGTTTAATGGGCTCCGAGCATTGCTGTGTGTGGGGAGGAGACTAGGAGTTGGACATAAGACACTGCACGTGCCAGGCACTCTGAGGCTTCTCTTCCAGAAGTGAAGCTTTACATCTTAGTTTTTGGAGCCACAGTAGGTGTGTTGGGCACTGAGCATATGGAGTTTGGATTTTTGTTTTCTTCTGAGACACGGTCTCATTATGTAGCTCTGACTGTCCTCGAACGCACTAAATAGACCAGGCTGGCCTTGAAGTAACAGAGATCCACCTGCCTCTGCCTCTCGAGTGCTGGGATTAAAGGCAATGTGCCACCACTCCCAGCTACATGTTTCTAGACTTTCAGTACTATACAGAAAAGTGGAGACCATTTGCTCCATTTCTTAGTAAGGAAGTTAGTGTTTGCTCTGGAGCCTACAAAGACAGGCCTGTGTGTGCATGTGTGTGCTCCTGCACCTGTGTGGAGATGTAAGGACAACTTCTGGGTGTTGGTTCTTTCCTTCCATCTTCTGTGTTCCAGGGATGAAACTCAGGTTGGCCCAGTTGGTTGCATGCATCTGCTGAGCCATATTGCCAGCTTTGAGTCAGCAGGACACCTGACTTGACCCCAGAGTCTATGGAGTTACCTGGCAGCCATCCTGTCCACAACTTTAGGGACACTGGGGGGTACCAGGATGTTTGAGTTCCGAGGGGTTGGTTGCCCAGCCTGCTTCTCTCACCGCTTCTGCTCGAGCTTAGCTGGGCAGGGCCTGGTGTTCATTTCACAGCTGAACCAACTGGGCCCCTAAGCCGATAATGGGATTGGCAGAAGCCACACCCGTCTGCGCCCTGGCCCTCTGTAACTGTGTGGCCTGCAATGGAGGCACTGAAGCATCAGAGAAGGACCTTGAGGATTGGTCCAGGGCAGAAGGGAGGGAGTCAGAAAAGAGGGGAGTCTGAAAGGCAAGGCTGACTGATGAGGACCTTCTCCCCCTCCCTCTCCTCCTGGGGGCCTGTTTCTCACTCTAGCTTTAAAGTCCCCCCTCACTCTTTTTCATTTCCGCTGCTCCCCCATGCACCCCCTCCCTGCAGACTCCCTCTTTGTAACTGCCCTTACCCCCAATTACACAGAGCTGAGGTAGGAATTTGTCAACAACACACCTAAAGCTACTTGCTCCTCAGACCCCCTTGGCCTCCAGCTGGGCCTCTGGCCTCCAGTCACAGTGACAGATGCCGGGATACTGGTGACAATAGGGCTTTGAGTGGCTATCTAAGCACAGCAAGTCAGGGCCACCACGTGGTGCAGACAGAGCCTCGTATTTCTGAGCCCCTTTCCTTCTACTTCTCCGAGCCCCCCCCCCCCCCCCACTGAGTCCGTCATCCCCTCACTTCCTCCTCAAGGCGTCTCTTCTTAAGTGTCCCCACCACCACCAGTGGAAATTCCAGGCCTCCAAGGGTCTCCAGGCTCTGATGTAACCTCTGACCACACCCTCTTCTCTTTTGCGCATTCTTTTCAAACAGAACAACAAATGAGGGAAGTCTTGGAAGTATATTGTTGTAGGGGTTCTGAGTGTCTCCAGGAGGCTACACTCCTGCTCTCAGACCTGGATGAGCACCTTGAGGCCCAGAGACGGTAAGGAAACAGCTTGAGGCCACACAGCAAGCTGAGCCCTTGGGAAGGCATGAGGAAGAGGTGGTCTTTTCTTAAAGCCAGGGTGGCCTGGTGCTCGGGCCCAGGAGAGAGGAGACCCAAGACGGACTACTGAGCTTCCCGACCCCCACTGTGCAAACCACGCCTCGAAAAAGAGGCTGGGAACAACACTAGGTGTTCAGAGACACACAGGAAGAGATCTCCGAAGAGCGGAAAAGGTAGGCTGGGCGCGGGGACCAGACAAAGGACGCTCCGCGGCGCGGGGAGCTAGTCGCTCAGGGAGGCGGGGGTGGAGCCAGGGTGCGGTGAGCACTGGCCAGCCCCGCCCCGGGACACGCCCGGGCTGCCGGGTGGAGGTCCGAGGGCTCGCTGGAGGCCAGGTCCAGGGGGCCTAGGGGCGGGGCCTGGATGGGCGTGGCACGGCAGGGCGTGGCATGTCGGGCGGGGCCGTGAGTTCGGGAGCTGACCAGCTCCGAGGCTGCTGAAAGCAACCGTGAGCCGGCCAGGCGTCCCGAGTTGCGGGCGCGTTCAAGGTCACCCCGCGGCCCGGAGCCCTGGCCGGGGGAGGGCGCGTGCAGGAGGCCTTATGGAGTGCTGCTGCAGCCCCGGACGCCCTCACCCGGAGGCAGCAGCCGGGGAACGGGGAGCCCCCTCCCACACTACCCCCCCACCCGCAGCCCCAAGGCCCCGCGCGAGGCTACGGCCCAGTGGAGAGACAAAGGGACCACGGCAGCAGCCGCCAGGCCTCAGGGCGCCCCCTCCTCTTCCCCTCCCCGCTTGCCGCAAGGTCGACGGGGCTCTAGGACGAAGATGCCCGCCTCTCGGGTGCGGCCCGGGCCTAGAGCAGCGCGATCCGACGCCACCCCGCCTCTCCATCACCCTCCCCCGAAAAAAAGCTCTCAGAGAATGCCGTGTGGCGTTACCCGGACCAACAGTAGGCGATCGTGGCCCTCGTCCTCCTGGGCGGCCTGTGGGTCTGGGCCTGGGATGCTGGAAGCATCCTCCGCCGCCGTGGCCCCTCCCCCACAGCCTTCCAGTGAGAAGCCACAAGGACCACCGGGTGGCCGAGAGCACTCCGAACACAGCCTGGCTCTCCAAAGCCTCTTGGACTAGGCTCCACTACTCAGAACTCCGGATGCGGCTCTGGCTACTCTCAGGCCCGAGGCGCGGTCCTACCCCCCCCCCCCGGGCCGGGCGGGGCGGGGGCGGCCCCCCCCCTCCTCGCGTGTCCGTGGAGCCAGCCTCCGCCCCTCCCTCCCATGTTCGTCTCGCGGCGACAAGGGAGTACCTACAGTGACCATTCTTGTGTGCCCGGCGGGCGCGGTCCGTATCGAGGGCGGCTCCGGGGGTCGTGCACTCCTAGGGGGGCGCCTAGTGCTCACGCCGGGGTCCCGCCCGGGCGTCTGCGGCTACGGACGCTGCAGAGGCGGAGATGGAGGCGGCGGCGCCCTCGAAGGCCGGGAACTGACCCGAGCCTGAGGATATGTGCTTCGACGGCCAGACCCCGGCGGCAGATGGATGGAGGGAGCGGGCGCGCAGTGGAGGGTGCCCGGAGCGCGGCCCCGCGGGGCCGAAGAAGTCGCTCTTTGCTCTTTCCGACTGAGATCTCCGCAGCTCTGCCTTCTGCGGCGGGCCCTCTGTCCGGCCTGTCCCGTGCCGGGTGATGGGTCCTCTCCTCTCGCCCGCCCTCCCTCCCTCCCACCGGCCCGCGCTGCGCGCTCTGCGCTCTGGGTCGCACTGCCGCCGCCCCCAGCCCTTTATAGCGGCAGCTGCCAGCGCCGACGTCGCTCATTGGCTGGGACAGCGGGTCCCCGCCTCCTCCCGGCTCCCGACGGCGCGGCAGGTGGAAACGAGTCCTCGCGGGCCTGGACTCTGGGTGCCGAGAGAGAAAAGGATCTTGGCTCTCTCTTGCCTGCAGATCCTGAGTCCAGTCTTGACACCCTTTTTGAGTATTACTTTAACTATGCAGACAAATTGGGTTCCCCTCTTCAGTCCAGCACCTAACTCTAAAGGGGTAAAAGATAGCCAGCCTTC